TCATCATTATTACTATTATTATTATTATTGTTATCAATATTATTATAATGAACATGATAACAATGATACAGATTTTTTGCTGGCAAAAGTGAACATAAAAACTACAAAACTGTGCATGAACAGTCGTATCATTCAAATGACACATAAGTGGTAAAAGACAAGAGCAACCTACTTCCATATGAAATCATTTTAACAGAACATAACATTTATAATATCATTGTTCCCACACTCCCCCCCCCTTTTTTTTTCAACCACCCTCCTCTGAAAAAAGCCCTGTAAAATGACAACAACAAACATTCTGTTACTCCTCTCTTCTCTCTTTCTCTCTCGCTCACTCTGTATCTCTCTCTCTCTTTTTTTCTCTCATTCTCTCTCCTCTCTCTCTCTCTCTCTTGTTCTCTCTCTCTCTCCCTTTCTCTCTCCCCCCTCTCCGCTTTAACTCTTCAACAACAGCAACAACAAGAACATCAACAACAACAACACCACCACCACCAGTATGCCTCTTTCCAACAGCTCCCTGTCCTCACCTTGCCCATTTTGCTGACAACAACCAAAAACACAAATGCCACTGTCCATCGACTCCTACAGCCCCCAGTACCCACCTTGTCCATCTTGCTGCCCCCGAAAGGTTTGTTTGCCATGATGTCATTGTCCTTGGGCACACGGTACGGCTTTGTCTCACGGTCCCACAGGCCTTCAAACTCTGGCGCCGCCAAGTCTACCACATTCTCTTCTACATACAGGGGAAAATAAGAGAAAAAGTAGATGAACTTTGTCTGTAATTTAATAATTAAAAAACAAACAAACAAAACTTAGTCTGTAAATTAAACAATATCAGGAATTTCACAATCTCATAGTCTGTAAATGTTTTTAAAATATATGAAATCTAAACAACTTACAGTCTATATTTTAAAAAGTGTCAGAAACTAAGCACTAAGAATTCTTACAGTCTACAGGTAAAGACATAAAACAACACAAATTCAATACATATATTTTTGTCCTGCACACACAGAAATATAAATCAAATATGCTCACAATCTTCAATTAAAAAGTCATATCAGAAATCAAATATATCTCAGTCTGTACATACATGCACATCGCAAATTAAGTAAACTTACAATCTGCGCATAGAGAACATTTGCCAAGATTTCTATATAAATTCTCTCTCTAAGTCAACCCACCTGTTTCATCATCCAAAGAGCTGTCGGAGTCCTCGTCAGCGGGAGGCAGTGAGATCTCCACGGGAGCAACGTCCCCCTCCTCGCCCTCCTCTCCTCCCTGAGCCAGAGCCTTCTCCTCCTCTGCCTGGTCCAGCCTCTCCTGGAAAATGTTAACGACAAACATCAGAGTCAGAGTCAAAGTCAAAGTTACAGTTAAAGTCAAAGACAGAGTCAAAGGCAGAATCAAAGTCAAAGTCAAGGTCAAAATAAGTATCAAAGACAGAGTCAAAGGCAGAATCAAAGTCAAAGTCAAGGTCAAAATAAGTATCAAAGACAGAGTCTAAGTCAAAGTTTAAGTCAAAGTCAGAGTCAAAGACAGAATCAAAGTCAAAGTCAAAGATAGAGTCAAATCGAAGTTAAAGTCAAAGTCAAAGACAGAATCAAAATCAAAGTTAAAGACAGAGTCAAAGTCGAAGTTAAAGTCAAAGTCAGAATCAAAGTCAAAGTCAAAGTCAGAATCAAAGTCAAAGTCAAAGACAGAGTCAAAGTCAAAGTCAAAATCAGAGTCAAAGTCAAAGTCAAAGACAGAATCAAAGTCAAAGTCAAAGTCAGAGTCAAAGTCAAAGTCAGAATCAAAATCAAAGTCAAAGTCAAAGACAGAGTCAACGTCAAAGTTAAAGTTAAAGTCAAAGTCAGAGTCAAAGACAGAGTCAATGTCAGAGTCAGAGTGAAAGTCAAAGTCAGAGTCAAATCTCTGGCTGGATAACCTTCAACTCTCTCAGAGTCAAGCTGACACTACAACGTTTTGTGTATGTGTTCTTTTGTCAAATTTGGTCTATTACAGGTGTATATGTATTTGTAAGGATTGTCATACAATGAATGGGCCGGTATGCATGAAACATGTTGTGCAAGCTGTTGAAATTTTTTGTCATGGTGATAAAGATAATAATAACAATAATAATAATATTCACTTCTATAACGCCCACTGCCTAGTTGTTCTGCATACTGCTATTGTATCCTCCTAAAGTGTTTTTATTAGTGAGGATCTCACGCTGGCTGTGCTCAGGCTACATCAAACCAAAACAAAAAAAAGACGACCACCTCAAAGAAACTGTTGCTGCTGCGTGATGCGGTGAAGATTACTCATAAGGGTATTCTGATGCTTGTGGTGTAGGTCAACAGACAAGGAAATTTCATTAAAAAAATTAAAATATAATCAGAACATAAAACATAACAGTAAATGTTTCACTTCCCCATCAACACAATTTAGATTGTTTGGGGGGCAGGAACAAATTTGAAGAACAAAGAAAAGCAGAAGTATTTGAACCCATACCAACTGCACCAATTCGTGAACTCATCACCTTTACATCAGAGTCCCCTTCAGGAAGCAAAGATCTACGTTCTTCCTTCCTCCCACTGTCAGTAATCGCTTTGTTCTCCTCACTATCGGGGGTTCCTGCCTCGTCCACATTTACACCCTCTTTGGAAATACTTGCACTTTCATTTCTATTTTTGTTCTTATTTTTCTTCCCCTTTTCTTCAACAGTTTGTTCCTTTTTCTTCTTCTCATTGTCTGCCGGAGGATCGGGGGGAACAACTGTTGTCATGGAAACGTATTGTTTCCCTTGCTGTTCACACAGAGAGTTGAGAACCAGACATTATATTTTATTACAATTTTGTTATTATAAGTACATGTAGTACTTGAAGTTTTAGTATAGAGAAACACATCAAGACAATCACAATCATTTAGCACAGGTGGAAAAGAAAGAAAGACAGTTTAAGACAGACAGACAGAAACAACAAAGGGAAGGAAAAGAGGTATGACCTGACACAGCATCACCCTCCTATCACTTGCAGGTACACTTAGTTGTACTGGGTATATTCATAATTCTAAGACAAAGGACTTCATGTCAGAGCCAACCCAGGCCAAGAGGGCTACAATATCGTGGTAGACAAACTGAGATACTCGATAAAATCAATTCACGCCTCTAGAACTGTTCTCACATCTTCTGCATATTTAACAGCAAAGAGCCTCCTTTAATAGCATAGACACTAGTAAACTCCTTGTAGTGTTGATTTCATTTCATATAGTCAATTTTTTCTTTAATCTTTGATAAAATTTCAACTACATAAAAACAATTCATGTCTCCTCCGTCTGGTAACTTTGAAAAGAAATAGATAGGAAAGCGCTCTACACTTTATAACAAAAATTCCACTCTCCTCTTCAGTTGTTTGTTTGAGTACAGAGAGGCACATCGACAAAGTAACAATCATTTAGAGCAGGAGGAAAAAATATGACAGACATATGACTGAAACAAGAGGGAAAGAAAAAAGTAAAAACTATAAGTAGCACCTTCCAACCACCCTCACATTAACAGAAATGTGAAAAATCAACAATAAGCAAACCATGCACACAAAAAGAAACAACTTCTGACTTCTATTAATAATAACTCTTCAACTGAAAGAGCACTTGCAAATTTTTTTTTTGCCATTTAGAATTAGGAAACAAATTATTCAACAAATAAAAACTTTTCAACAACTTGAATACCATCTGAGCCGATAATTTTCTCAGCATTTTGGGATAGTCTTCATCCACACAGAATGATTCATAAACTTCTAGGACTTTTCCATCTTCCTCTTCTTGAGATTCCTGCCTCATGTCACTGTCCTTTTCTTCCAAAGTCTCTTCTTTTTCTGCTTTCTCTTTGGAAGCAGCCTGAAAAGTTCTAGAACCTGTCACACCATGGGAGGAATCCAAGGGACTTAAGGACGGAGAAACAGAGAAATTGCCTAAGTGTTGTGCTCTATATCTACAACGGAGTGTTTTGGCAAATCATGAATGAGATCATCCATATTTTCAATAGTTGAGTCTTCTTAACTCTTTAACCCCAAAATCATTTTCCACATTTTGAAGGAATTTTTTCAAGATCTCATGAAACATATAATGGGGGATACACGCACCATATTCATAAAATAGTTAAAACAGTTTCAAAGTGAAAGAGGAAGTAGCTTAATATTCTTTCAAGTCAAAATAAGTCTATTCGGATTTGTAGAAGAGTGTATAAGTAGTAATGCTTCATGCACTCTGCAATCTGACCAGATGCTGGGACTGTCCATTTGGGGACTGGGTGAGTTTCACTGGAAGCTCTCATTGTCCACTTAGGGTTATAGAGTCAAGTGTCTGTCCGATAATGCGTGATATCACTTGCAAGAGTTATGACATTCAACATCCGTCTTGTCTCTCTCAAGTTTCAGGCGTCAGGATATCACTGTCATAACACAATAACTGTATGAGCCATCTTATTTCGGGTTTCTACTTAAAGGTATGCCAAAAATGCCTGCTACTCATTTTAGTACCCCCAATAGTGGTCATATTAGACCGGAGGTCTTAGTAGACAGTGTCATTATTTTATTTTAGAATGCCCGCAGGAAAGTGAGAAGTGGATTTTTGCACACAAGATTGTCTTGAACAGGTGGTCATTAGAGCAGGTTTAACAGTAGTTAACTAACCACACCAGTAACTCTAACCACTGACCAGAATTTCTTTCTCCTTGTTGTCCATCACCGTCTCCTCCACCTCTGCCACCTCGTCTGCCGTGGCCTTCAGATAGTTTTCCAGAGCGTTCAGCGGCTTCTGAGTGTGAGCCGATACCCTCTGGTGACGGGACAATATTTCAGTACAACAGATTATTTTTTTATATTCCTCCTTTATTCTTTTTTTTTTCAGTGGCTTCTGGGCATGAGCTGATACCCTTCAGTCTCTGGTACAAGGACAAGATGGAAATAAAGAGAATTTCTTTTAAAAAAAATAAAAAAATCCCCACCCATTCCTGTCAAATTTTTTTCTTTCTTCTTTTCATTTCTTGTAAATCTCTTTCTCTTGCCCATTCTTAAAGAAATTACTCATTCTGAATTGTACACCAATGCCTGTTTGATATGTCAGCTGATTTCTTCCAGTGGCGTGGCCTGGGCTAAATATGTGCTATGTTAACAACTGGAAGGAAACAAAAAACGAAAAACACCAGCAAGAATGGCTCCTATTTTACACTGTGTTATTTCAGGCTCAGCAACACAGAAATTCTCAGTGAAACTCTCAGTATGGTCTGTTCAACACTGAACTGTTTCCTATAATTGAAACAATTATCATAAGGCCCTTTTTTAAGTGTCATTATCAAAGTGAATTAATCTAAGTATACTGACCAACGACCAAATTCATCTAAACATGCTGACCAACGACAAAATTCATCTAAACACACTGACCAATGACTTCTCTCGGTCTGGGCAGTCCCACAAATATGGTTGCTGCTTCTTGCGTTTCTTCAAGTTCTCCTCCTCCATCAAGATCTTCTGCATGATGCTGGCTTTCTTCACCTTTTGATCCGTTTCAAACTGCCTGAAAAAGGCAACATTACTTATGATTGCATTTATAATAGCCTATCCACACTCTAGTCTGATTTACAACAGTTGTTATGCCAACTGACCCTAGCACAGTCAGAAACATCCTCGGTTTTCCAAGAAGCAAACAGTGCAAGTTGTCAATTGAGCTCTAAAACACTAACAAATTAATTGATAAGATTTTTCATCACTGGTAAACTAGACAGACATTCTGACCTGGCTTAAGACTTAAGCTACAATAGGAAAAACACCACTTAAAGTAATCAAATGATTCTTGAATCTGTTCTAACTATACTGAACGAACAAACAAGAAATTATTTTTTCTCTTACTGCTTCTGTTTCTCCACTTCATTTCGTCTTTTCTTTACAAGCAAAATTTCTTCAGGGTTTCCTCCCTTTGCAGAAATCCTCTCCCTTTCTTCTTGTTCCGCTGACTTTTCTTTCCTTTCCGCCGCCTTGTCTCTCGCTCTGATGGCTCGTAGATTTTCCTAAAGAGAAAAAAAGACATGTGTAAGCCAGTAGCCTAGTAATGAAAACATCAAAACATGACATGTGTCACAACGCAGTGGATTCAGGCGCTCGTCAATTTTTGGGCATAGGCCTATGGAGTTATTGGTATCATCTGAAAGCTGATTTATTTGCCTTGTTTCCAATGAAACAAATATATAGTGATCTTAAATAGAACTCAAGATATCTGCATATGGTTTCAGTGGTGAAATTAGTGAGAAAATGGCCGCCAAAGTTTGGTAACTCCAATTGCTAAAGAGTCTTTGAAAACTGGAAAATGACATATTTTGTGCCTTTAACCAATGTTTTTCAGTAAAAATCACACTGAAATGTGTTTTACAAGGATTTAAAAGAGGTTAAGCCAAAAAATTAAAATTCGATAAAAAATTTCCAAACAAGCGGAAAATGCTTGTTTCTCCGATTTAGTTATTTTGACGACCGCCTGATTTAACCACGCTGCCTCACATATATATGGAATGAGAATTAAATTCTGAAAGCTTTGCAGTTTCACATCTGCTTATTCTCCTCCATCCAAAAAAAAAAAAATCCAACAAAAAAACCTCAACAAAAAACCCAATTATAAAACACAAAACAAACCAAGGGGTGACAAAAAGGTCAGCATTGGACCTACCCTGTTATGAGCGATGTCATTCCTCAGTTTCAGCAGCATGTCCATCTTCGAGGTCATGTCTGTCTTGTATCTTTCCTCTTCCTCCTTTTGCCTCTGGTTCAGTCTGTAGGAGGTACAAGGTGAGTATATTTAAGATAAGAAAGAGATATCAAGAATAGGACCAAGAGATATCTACCATAGGACAAAGAGATATGTACCATAGGAAAAACATGTCTGAGATAGAACCAAGAGATATCTAGATAAAGCAAAAATTTATCTATAACAGGACAAACAGACTGATATTTACAACAAAATACAGAGATATTTATGATACGACAAAGAGACATCCACAATAAGATGAAGAGATTTTTTACAAAAAGAATACAGTGTCCTTCACATTTTACTAACGACTTTGCCAGCACACTGGGAACACCTGAGCGTAAAACACTTATGTTTGAAAAAAACTTGACTCACTTGTTGAGAGTTTTCTGCAGATACTTGTTTGCTCTCTCGTGGCTTTTCTCCGCGTCCTCGACCGCCTGGAAGTGACGTCTCTGGGCGTCCATCACAGCGTCATGATGGGTTCTGACACACAAGGAAAACTTTGTCATTGAGAGATCACTGTTAGCAAAGACACCATTAAATAGAATTATAAGAGAACAGCTCAATTTTCATATACTGAAACACCATGCACTGTACCTGTCCTTCTACTCAAATTTAAAAAAGGGGGGGGGGGTAAAAGAAAAGGGGAATTTATTACTTGAGATTCAGAGTGATGAAAAATATTGAAATTAGATCAAATGGAAGGGGCACAACTCAAAACATTGCACAGGGTGACTTATCCTGTTGATCTTTTATTGCAGTCTTCAATTTGACAGTATGAAAACACTGGTAGATCCTGTTAAACATTTAAAGAATATTAAAACAAAAGTAAGTCTTGTATTACAAGGGCAGGAAAAACCAGTACTGTAAAATCCAGATCACATGAATTTCACGGGATCCGAGAATTTCATCAAGGGAAGTTGAAATGTATAAAACAAAGAGGGGAGCTCTCCTGATACCCCCCACCCCAATTCTTCTCCACCCCCCACCCTCCCCCTTGACTCCTTTCGTGGTAATAGGAATTTCATGATAAACAGCTTCATGTTAAACAAAATCTACAGCATATTGAAAAAAGTAAAACAAGTAAGTACTTCTGGTCTTTCCGTCGAGTGACAAGGGCCTGCCTGGCAAGCTGCTCCTCTTTGTGCAGCCGCACCATGGCCATGTCGGTTTTCTCCTTGCTCAGCTGGTGCTCTCGCTGAAGCAGGTCGTCCTCTGCCAAGATAAATTTCCCACGCTCCACCTCCGCAACCGCCAGGTCGTACCTAAGAGTAGTAGCAGGAAGAAAGTCATGTACGTGGGTTTTTTTTTTTTACATTTTCTTTTAATCTGCACAATTACAGCAGTGGTGTCTGTAGTATATTTTCAATGTGGAGAAAATGAAAGGTAAACATTGCTATTTTTTGTTTCGTACATTTTTGGTAAATTTTCAATATGGAGAAAAAGAAAGGCTTAATATTTTTATTTAAGTATAATTTTGGAACATTTTTAAAGTGGAGAAAATAAAAGGCATTATGTAACTGTTTTATATTTTAAATAATTTTGGTATATTTTTAATGTAGAGAAAAGGGAAGAATTAACATTACTTTCTTTTGTTTGGTATTTTTTTGGTGAAAGTGAAGTATATCCCCCCCTGTGTCTTTGCACACACTGACAATCACAGCCAGCTGTTTTCTGTTCCTGTAAGAACATATCACCAACCCTGACTGTGACCCTCAATGTGACCGCCAGATCTGAGGACGAGGTTAAGTCAGTCTCCAAAGAGGGGTCAAAGTTTATTTTTATCTTTTTTTCCAGCATCCGTAGTGCAGTCACATATGTAGAAACCTGACTTTGGTTCCCATGAAAGGAGAATTTTTATTGAGAATCCCTCTCAGTCCAGGAAGGCTCTCATTGGCGGGGTCGAAGCCTGCCTCCTAATTGATCTAAACTGTATGGATGGCGAAGTAAAAACATCTACATTAAAAAACATCTTAAAAAAATTTCAGTTCCAAATGGGGAGTCTAAGTTATTTTGACCTATATATGGTATATTTTCCACATGGACAATGGAGTGGCTTACTCGGCTTGGTCCAGGCGGTCCATGATCATCCGCTCCAACTGTTGTTCCTCCTGAAGCTCCTTGCAGATTCTCTCGTGGGCCGCCCGCACCCGGTGAACTGCCGACCTGACAACACACCACAAGGGGGAATGTTAGAATAGCAACAACAAGTTTAATTACTATGAATGACAAAATCATTATTCAGAAACCAGACGGACAAAACTGTGTCTTGACGTGGTGAAATCAGGCGCTCATCAACTTTTTGGCATATGGAGTTATTGGTATCATTTTAAAGCCTGTCTATTTGCCTTTATTTTGATGAAAACAATACCCATTTAGCTTGGATACAAGTTGAGATATTTGCCATTGAAGGAGGTGGGGTTAGTCTGGTTTAAAAAGTAAAATTAGCGAGAAAATTGCCGCCAGAGTTCAGTTATTTCCTAAGCTTGAGAGCCCCGTGGAAACTGAAAATCTACATCTATTATGCATTTAATCAGCGTTTTTCAGTAAAACCCACACAGAAATGTGTCTTTAATGAGCATAAAAGGAGTTGAGCCGAAAAACAAAATTTTGAAAAAACCCCACAAAACCTGCTGAAAAATGCCAGTTTCTTCACTTTCATTAGTTTTGACCCGCGCCTGATTTCACCACGTTGCCACACAATTTTACTTTTGCTGTTAATAAATGAAAAATATAGGTCACAAGCCACATGTGAGATTCTATTGAGAGATAGTTTCAGAGCAAACAAAAAAAGAAATCCTTCAAAACTGCCTAAAATACTCCAGGATATCATAGAAATTAACAAAAGCAGGCAGGCATGTGGGCATGGTAATGGAAAGTCAGGGAGAAGAGAAAAACCAGCATACAAGCAAATTCATAAAGTGTTTTACTCACTGGTTGCCATCAGATTCTTTTGTTTGAATCTCCCTGAAAAGAGAGTTCCTCTCAGCCTCATAATTCTGGATTTGATCTCGGCACTTCTTCAGCTCTTCCCTGTAAGAGGGAAATACCAAAATCAATATCAAATTTGTGCCACCAAAGTGAGAACCACATTCATAATATCACCAAAATCAATATCATATTCATATCACCAGCATCAAAATCACATTCATATCACAACATCAATATCACATTCATATCACCAACATCAATATCGCATTCATATCACCAACATCAATTTCACATCGCTAATGTCAATACATGTATCACATTCATATCATTAACATTAATATTAATATCACATTCATATTGTAATCAGAGGGAGAGAAGTCCCAGGATTTTAAGATCTTCAAGCACTCACCTGGACTTGTCGGTGACGTACTGAGCATGTTTGACCTTCTCAAGCAGCTGGTTGAGGTGACTCCTCAGGTGGATCATGCGGATCTGCTCCTGCCAGTTGATCTTCTCCTCCGGGGTCTCAGGGTAATGCTGAGCATACCTGTGTGTGAGGAGATACAGTGATGTGAAGAATGATGGGGGGCGGGGAATGTGGAAAATTGTGTAAGTTTAACGTCCCTTGCAATACTGGGAGATTTTTTAAAAAGTAGGACCTCCGGATTTAATACCCATCTTCAAAGGGACTGAACCAAATGGAAAATTTGAAGTAAAGGGATTTTCCAAAAGAAATAATATCATATTGAGCTGAGCCTCGAACCCCTGACCTGCAATCTCACAGTAACGAGTTCTGCAGCCTAACCACAAGACTGCTGAGAATGGATTACGTTAACATTGTGCTAATGGACACTGTGAAGAGCATTATTTGCTTTTTACACAATAGTGCCTCACAATGAAATTTTAAACAACAAACATGAAAGTAGTTAAATTTTCATCCCTCTGTAGAGAGCTTCATTCTTCTCTCAACAACCACAACTGTTATGAGTCCCAAAATACCCCAACCCCTCTTCATAACACACAAAAAACAGCCCAACTTTGAGACTTTTAAGTACGGTACAAGCAAGAACAACTGGCCAGTTTGATCTTACTCTTGCATGGATTCAGCTTCATCCTCATCTTCATTGTCTGTACTGAGGTCCAAGTTTCCATCGTAATCGAGTATTTCATCGTCATCATCATCGATGTAACCCAACATCATCTTTGCATTGGCCGTGTACTCCATGCTCAGTTACTCTGTACTCCTGAATATGAAGCAAAAGTGACAGAGAACAGTCAAATTAGAAATAAAAAAGTGGATAAGACTGATAACTAGCAAACTTTATTGACTAATAAAATAAAGCATATATTATTAAGTGGCTATACTCGGGCATCATGCCACTGAACAGATTGAAAGCTATTCTCAGGCGCCACGTATAGTTGCACATGTCGCTTCTCCACAGCTTTCCATCTCCATGTTGTGACCATTATTGTTGCAACTGAGTTCAGTGCCAGATGCGCCTTCTTGTACTTCCGGTTGTGTCTGAGGGTTGTTGGCGCTTCCGGTGCTGGACCTTTGACACAGAAATTCCTCCTCCTTCCGTCACTGGAGCTTTCATGGAGTAGTGGCTGCGTGTCCACCTATGGTGAATCGCATTCTGAAGAAATGCCAACCCTTATCAGTGTTTGTGTTAAGCCATAACGTGCCAACAAGGGAGACGGAAAGCTGTGGAGAAACGACATGTGCAACTATACGTGACGCCGGAGAACAGCCATCAATCTATTGACCAGCGCAATGCCAGAGAATAGCCTTTTACTGATGGTTAGACTTTCCAAGAGCAAAGCAAGTCCATACACATAAAGAGCTGTAATTTAACAGTATGTCAAACAAAAATAAGACAACTTTTCAAAGTATAGATAAGATGTTTTCCATTAGATCCTTATTATAATGTATTTGCTTTGATTTGTACATTTTCTTTTTAAGAATAGCAGCAACATTTCAAAACTGAGGTGTGTAATTTGTAAACCGAGCAATTATAATGGCCAGGAGAGAGGTAAAGGAAGTCAATATGTTGTGTTGTCAACTTACAACTTGACATCTTATCAAGGATGGCTGACATATGTTAATATAACTTTGGTTGATATCACAACAGTTGACTGAGGAGCTATATAGGAAGCACCCGACCACAGCAAGATATGAGAAACAAATTTTTTTGAAAGACAAACTGGAAAGGTCAACTTGTCTGGATTTTTTTTATTTCTCTTTACTAGTAGTAGCCAAAATTAACTTGATAGAGCCTATAATAAAAAAAAACTTCAAGCCACAAAAAAACTATATTATGCACACATGATAACTGCATGTAACAATAAACATTTATTTGGCTTTCATTAAAAAAATCTCTCCTCCCCAAAAGTGACAAATAAATTTAAACTTTAAATTAAAACAGATTCACCAATACATTTAACATTATGCACCATCGACCACTTTTTATTTTCAATTAAAAAAAATATTAAATTGAACATATTCAATAATACTGTGACTGTGATCACAGTGGTGACAAACGCGTCGAGTGACATACAGTACAGTGACAGCAGTGTGAGGCTGTGTGTAGTGTGCGATGTGGTTGCTAACGAGATATGCACATTCCAAAAATACGATCTACTCGGCAAGAGCAAGAAAAACCCACTACTATCTAAATGAAAGCGTACCGATAAATGTATATCATCAAGCAAGTACACAAGCAAGGCCTCTATCGATTGAAAAATATCTCTGCTTTGATACCAAGCTTTCCTTGTCTAGTTACTAGACGCCTTCCGCCATCTTGTTGGCAACGAGAGCTTAAAATCTCAAACCGGATAAAACCTGGAACAGTTTGTTTCGTCTGTGTATGTTTTCTTTCAGCGCCTTTTTAGGAGCATGTTTTACTATAAATCAAAGAAAGGTAACTCTCGGCTAGATCTAGCCGGCTATTTTACTATAAAGTTTTTCTATTTTTCTGAATGTCTGCTGTCTGGGTACTACCAGGTAGATCTAGATTAGATCTAGTGTGAGTGAGTGTGTTGTCTTCATCTTTTCCACTGGTTAGAGCCTAACTTTAATTAATGTGTGTCGTTGTTAATTCTAACGTTTTTAAAGATAAATTCAGGTGGAGCAGTCATTTCTTCGACTTTGAATCATCTCCTTGGCCTTCACGGTTGCGGAGATTTAGAAATTTACTCTTCTCTTGTCTCTTGTCCTTCGTCTGTGCTGAGAACTTTACAAGATGGTCCACTCAGCCAAAAAAGTGTCCGCCGGAAGTCTGCTCTTTGCTTCAGATGGCGCTGCAGTCTGTTTTGAAGCTCTCTTTGGTTTTTCCAGAAGAAGAATAGGAATAGCACCTCCTTGCGTGCGCAGATCGACTGCTGTTCATCAGCAGTTCGGGTTCGTTCAGTACGGAGTTTTAAGTTAAAAAAAATTTTTAACTCTTATCCTGCGTCTGTGCCCAGATGCGTATCTTATCAGCAACC